CCTTTCACATTTCTGATGGGTCCAAAGCAGCCTGTAGGTTCACTATCATTTTGCCAGAACAGAGGGTTGGTGCTCTTGCCAGCTGTGTGTCAGGCAAAACAAGACAACACATATGATTCCCTCTATCCCCATCTTTCCCAACAAGGAAAGCTTCACAGACTTTTGGCAGTCAAGCCACTGGTTAAAGGCAAAATGACCCTGCCAAGCTGGCAACATTTTGTGAAGCACTATGTCAAATATTGCAACCAAAGAAAGAGCCTTGTGCCCCCTCAACATCTCTGGAATCTCTGGGAGATCCCACCTGGCATATAGATTCAGACTGTGTGGTTTTAGACACGAGGTTAAGTTCTTCCTATTCTGCCAAGTATTTAATGTCAGAACAAGAAGCCAAAGATTCACTTCACTGCTGGATCCTTGATATTTCTAATGTTTTAATATTTCAGTAGTCTAATATTTTTGCATCTATTGGTATGGGTTTTAATTGTCTCTTTGCATTTTTAATTACTGTGAATCACCCCAAGGGCATCTGGCAGCTAGGTGGAATATTGTTGTTGCTTTGTGCTGCCAAGTTGTCTCCACCTTACAGCAACCTCATGAATGAAAGCCTTCCAAAACATCCAGTCCATGACAGGCCTGATCAGCTCTTGCAAATTCAAAGTTGTGGCTTCCTTTATGGGTTCAATCCATCTCAGGGTGGAAGATGCATTTGAAAAATAACCATATTTGGAAGGAACCTTAGTATGGTTTTGGTCCTGGCACTGCACTGCTGATTTAGTACTGCTGGATGTCCTCCTGCTACAGTCATTTGGTGTTTATTCACATGTGGTTGAAAGTGCCATTGTGAACAGGATCTTCCAGTCATTCAGCATTGCTTATCCCAGGATGCTTAAAAGAGGATGTGCTAATGTTCATGTCCTCCAGCATAAGCTGCTGGTTCTGGTAGACCTTTCAGAAGCAGGCTTGCCCATCTACAGTTCATCAATGCACAGCATGGGTACCACTTTTCTTCCTAGCCTCAGGTCTACAATAGCACCCATCCATTCCCATTTGAGTAGCAGCATAAGACCAGTACAGGCTACTTTTCCACTGGAAGTTAATGCAAGGGTGTTATTTGAAGAACAAAAAAACAGCAGCAATGGCAACTGTTGATTAAAAAGATAACTTGGAAAAGAGGAGGAAGAAAACTTGACCAGCCTTTAGCAGGGGATTACATGGGTAGTTTGTGCAATGCCATCAATTGTCTTGTGAGGATAAAAGTGAAGTACAAACATACAGAGCAGAAGAGCAGAAGGAATCTTGACAGCCTTCCCTAATCTGCTGCCCTCCAGATGTGTGGGGCTACAACTCCCCATCATCCCAGATTCCCATAATAACCACAAATATAAACTGCTATAAACTCTCCAGCCACTTGTCATCGGGATGGCGGCCAGCGACAAGCGGGGTCCCCCAGGGCTCTGTCCAGGGACTGATCCTGTTTAATCTTTTCATTAATGACATGAAAGAAGGGGTGAACAGTCTGCTGATCAAATTCACAGACGACACTAAAACTGGAGCAGTGGCCACAACTGAGGAGCAGGTACTCCAGATCCCAAAGGATCTGGACAGTCTATGGAAGTGGGCAGGAGACAACAGGATGGAGTTCAATGTGGATAAGTGCAAGGTCTTGCACTTGGGGCATAGGAATAACTGTTAGGTGACAAGGTTAGGTGACAAGTGGCTGACAAGTGGCTGGAGAGCAGCACTTGTGAAAGGGACCTCGGGGTACTGGTTGACTGCAGGCTAAACATGAGTCAGCAGTGTGATGCGGCGGTCAAGAGGGCGAACGCCACCCTTGGTTGCGTAGCCGGAAGTGTGGCTTCTAGATCAAGAGAGGTATTACTACCACTCTATATGACTCTGATGCGCCCGCAACTGGACTATTGTGCTCAGTTTTGGGCCCCTCATTACAGAAAGGATATAGCCAGGTTAGAGTCAGTGCAGCATAGGGCTAAAAGGTTGGTGGCCAGTGTACAGGGGATGGCGTATGAGGTGAGACTGAGGGAACTGAGTCTCTTCAGCCTGGAGAAGAGGAGACTCAGAGGGGACATGTTGGCAACATACAGGTATGTGAGGGGATGTCACATGAAGATGGGTAGAGACCTGTTCTCCCCTGCAGAGGAAGGCAGGATGCGCTCCAATGGAGCAAAGCTCAGGGAGCCAAGGTTCCATTTGGATGCCAGGAAACACTTCCTGACAGTCAGGACCCCGAGGGTGTGGAATGGGCTTCCATGAGAGGTCATTGAGGCTCCATCGATGTGGGTGTTCAAGGATAGGCTGCACATGGTGGGCATGTCATGAGCGGAGCCAGCTGGTGCCAGAGGTCAGACTAGATGGCCCGGGAGACCCCTTCTGACTTGCTCTGTTTCTATGTTTCTATGTTCGAAGTTTGAAAGCCAGTGTAGGGAATTGTGTTGGACTGGGAACCCAGAGTGCCAGGATCTAGGCACCACTTGACCATAAAGCTAACTGGGTGACTGGGCCAGTCACAACTCTCAACCTAACCTGCTTCACATGTAGTAATAATAATCATGATAAGGATAGATTTCAAAGAATGTAGAAAAATAAGTGGATGAATAAAGACAGATAAGAAGTTGACTAAAGCATGTATTTTTAGAGACATTTTATACATCAAGACATCTGCCTGGAAGTGCATTTTTCCAGGAAACCCAATCCCTTTGTAAGTGATCTGGCTATTTAGTAACAACAGCATTTTCTAGCAGTAAAAGGTTTCACAGTTAGGGGAGATTCAGACTGAGGAACAGCAAGGTGGGATAACATGTAGTCCTCTGTACTCACTTCACAGTAACTGTAGTTTGTTAACAAACCAGGATATCAAATCAGGGTGGATAAAATCAGTGATTTAAAAAAATTGTAATTTTTTTTATTTAAATTATTTTTAAAAATTTAAACTGATTTTTTTAAAGAAAAATGGAAAACATACTAGACCTACACTTTCAGTGTCATAACATTGAAGTTACTCACCTATCAAACTTGGTGAATTTGATAGGTAATTTTAGATTTTCATCTTATGAAAATGCTTTTACCTTCAAGTAGCTCTTTCTACTTGAAAATTCTGGGCTTTCAACTTCTCTGAATGAAATCACATGTGCAAAGACACCAGTGAGGTAGCATTCCTGTTCTGTACTTCTGCAATGATGGAGTCAGGCCAAGCAAACCAGAGGAGTTAGGCAAGGCAAGAAGTATATAGTGGGGGCAGGGAAGAAATGGAAAGTCTACATGCAAAAATGAAACAGTACAAATACTGCTTCATTTTGTTGGAAATCTGACCATGATAATTTACATCATGCATGAAATCCCTACTGGTCCAATGTCAACACTCAGCATGGTCAGACACATGCTGGGTTCTGTGAGCCCCAGCTGGCCTATCACAGCTGACACTGGCCTTTGCTTTTCAAAAAAGAAAAAAAAAGTTTTACATTTCCAGCGTTCTAAACAAAAGCACTTTTGAGCCTTGACACCAACATATGCACCTGGCACATTTGCAAGTCTTACCAACCCACCCTAACAATAAGCCACAGTGGCTTAGTTCTTGGCAAAACAATCTATGCTGCACCTGACAGACACCACCACTCATTGTGGGTTGCTGGTCCCCTCTTTTCCCCCTCTTCCCACCTCAGTCCCCCTGCAGGTATCTCATGGGACACTACAGGAGCACAGAGATGTCTCCCAAAAGTCATAGTGATTGCAATCCATTTCAGGTTAATCCTGTTTTTTCTGCCTTTAGCCTTTTTTGCTTGAGCTTGAGAGAGCTGGCTTGACAAGCAGCTTTCACAATCTCAAGAAGGAAAAAAAAAAATCACAGGGCGGGGAGAAGCACAGCAAGCTCAGAATAGATTGTGATTACACTAGGAGTGGGGGAAATGCAGTGTCAGCTGCCCTCAAGTGCTGCTTGTGTAAATTTAATTATTCATTCATTCATTCATTCATTCATTCATTCATTACATTTGTATGCTGCCCCATAGCCTGAAGGCTCTTTGGGTGGCTCACAATGAAAACAAAAACTATCAGCATAAATCGATAGAGTGGTTAGCACTCAGGACCTTCTTGGCAAGAACAGCAAAGGGTACATGGATGATCCTCATTAACTATTCATGTTATTAATGAATTTCAAATTGATTCTTGTTGTAGTGTCAATAATAACCGTTACCCATGGTTTGGACCTTGTGACCATCTATCATGGATACAACAACCCCTACAACAACCTGTGAGGGTGGTCTGTTGCCCTCACACAAGCCACCCTGTGGGAATTGGTTGTATGATATGACAACCCACTGCATATAATGGGTTGTCTACAATGGGTTGTCATATTGTCTGAACCCAGACACTGGCTTGTCCAGCAGTTCTCTTTACAGCAGGAGTGCTCAACCTTTAGCCTGAAGAATTCAGCAGCCACATTCCAGTGCTGGGTAGGACCCAAAGGCAAAAGAGGCAGGACCAAGAGCATGGGCATATTTTAACTTGAACCTCTTCCTGGTTGCATGGCAACCTTACAGAATGGGAACAGAACTGCAGAACAACTGGGAAATCAACCAATGATTGGTTGTCAGGGGAAAGCAGGGATCCTGGAAGGCCAGACTGAGATCCCAGGAGGGTCAGATTTGGCTCCCAGGTTTACGGTTCTGCATACTTTTTTTCTAAGCTATGTGAGTAGCTGGTTCAGTTGCCTGCTCCCACTCCTGCCACCTGTCTCCATCTGCTCTGTAGTAAAGTTTTGGAGGCAGGCTTAAGAAGGTGCCACTCAGGGGCTTAGCAGAAGGTCTGTCAAAGCCCTAACAGCTATCCATCATGGATACACTTTCCTTCCATGATGCCACCATTTTGAACAGTCAAAACAAATGAAGATGCCAGTATTTGTCCAGAAGGAAAGAATGAGCCTCTCCCTGTGACCCCAAAAATGCTGACTGCACTAAAACTACAGGCCTGGTCAGAGATCTACTTACTGAGGATAATGATGACTGTCTTGATGAGGTTGATCATAGTATCCTTATAGCGTGGGTGGAAGGTGGTGTGCTTGGACATCCGTGCCATCTTTCTTTTGACGTAGATGAAGATGTGAGTGTAGACCACCACCATCACAAGAAAGATGAAGAGATTTGAGAGGGCCCAGAAGGTCAAATACCTGCGGCTGTAGAGGGGAGCCATCCGGGAACAAGTGTCCAGCTGGCACAGACAGTGCCAACCGTATGAGGGGATCAGGCCAAGCAGCAGAGCTGTGATCCAGATACAGCAGATAAGTATCATCACTCGCTGATTGGACATCTTGCTGTGGAGCTGCATGGTGAAAACTGTCTGGTGCCGCTCCACGGCGATGGCCAAGAGATTGACCACTGAGGCTGTGAGGCTGGTGTCCAGGAGGCTCTGCCTGACAAACCAGGTCTTGAGTGAGAGCTGGGCTGTCCGGGGCCCAGTGTGGAACATCAGGAACATGTATGCAATGCCGGCAAAGAGATCAGCAGCTGCCAGATTTCCCAGCAGGTAATAGATGGGGTAGTGGAAACGCTTATTGATAACAATGGCACTGATGACCAGCAAGTTGGTGAGAAGCACAATGATGCTGACGGTCAAGCCAAGAGCTACCACCAGGATGTCCTTGGGCCTCCATTCGTGGAAGAGCTCCTTACCACTGTTGTTGTAGAAGAACTCAACAGTCTCATTGTAATAGCACCTGGTCATCTTCTTAAATTGTTGATTCCTGAAGGATAGGGAAGAAACAAGTAGTAAGTAATATTTAACCTTTGAAGCAGC